GGTAAATCAATAAAACAAACATGCTCTGATAATATATGCATAATTTAAATGGATTTGCCTACACAAGAGACAGACTCCTGGATGGCCTTGTCTCACCAGTATTAGACCGGAGAAGGCAATGCAAATATCAAAGCGTTAATGGCTCAGGTTGAGCAGTTTTATCTATGGGACCATTTTTATCCAGGATCAAAACGATGAAAAAAAAATCTACTTGATCTTTTCCGGCAATAATGCAGTTGGTTATAGATTTGAAGCTTTCGTGACTGCAAGGATTCATATTCTTAGGTTTTTTCGGTAAAGTCACGTAGGTAAAAATTTTAAATTAATAAAAGTAAAATAAAACAAAATAAAAAATCACGACGTTTCGGAAGCAACACAAGCCTCCGTCTTCAGGTGGAACCGTCACAGCCACGACAGCTGTATCAAGTAAATGAGAGATCACAAGAAATACCACCCCATATATATAATGGTTGAGGGGGGAAGGGCCAGAAACGGCACACTTTTTATTAATATGGTAAGGTGAGGCTTAAGACTAAGAATAGACTGCATAACAAAGGACTGAGCCTTTGTTATGGAGATGTGCGGTTTGTAACTAACACCTAGCATACATAACAAAAGTGTTAAAAAAAGAAAGCAAGTAAAAACTAAAACTGGTAAAACAACAAACTGGCTGTCTATCATTTACCTGTAATAGTTTTCTGTCAAATAAGATGGTCATTTACTTGATACAGCTGTCGTGGCTGTGACGGTTCCACCTGAAGACGGATGCTTGTGTTGCTTCCGAAACGTCGTGATTTTTTTATTTTACTTTTCTTAATTTAAATTTTTTACCTACGTGACTTTACCGAAAAAAACCTAAGAATATGAATCCTTGCAGTCACGAAAGCTTCAAATCTAGAATTAATGCCCTCTACGGGGAGGAATTCCACCTATCTGTTAGAGTTTTTAACAGACAATGAGACAAGAAGTCACAGCTTCTCGAGACGCTGGCCTTCCTCAAGAGATGCCGAGATAACAAGGTAATACCCATCGCTTTCACACTCACATCCGCTGCTGTGTCCTCACCGAACTCTAAACAGATCTTATTTAAAGCTAGCCTATCACTAATCTCGGAGAGAATAAGGTTACTCCGATCTGAACTCGATAATTTAGACAAGACTCTCTTACAAACACATTTAATGTTAACACAAAAAATGTCACCTTCTGACTGGAACCACGTTGATAACATGACTTCTGCTTTTGCTGACTCAATGTCAGCCAAATGCAAAGCTAACCTGATTTCTAAATTCAACCTCCTATCTAAAAAGAAACCAGAGCCACACATTACAAAGCTGGATGTTAACAAGACCGTGATTAATCAGAGTAACATCCCAATTTCTGACAATTTAAAAACGGTACTGGCCAAAGGACTAAATTTCGCCGTCACCCCTAAATATATACCAGTAGAGGATGTAATTTCTCAGATTGATGTAGCCCTCAGAGGCAAAGGACACATCCATGCGGATGTAGCAAGAGCTGAAATAGCTACTATTTTTAAGAATGCTAAGAAACCCACTAGTAACATCAGCAAAAACGAACACTCTGAACTCGCGGACCTAAAAAAGAGAGATGATATAGTCATCCTCTCGGCAGACAAGGGCAATGCCATGGTCATCATGGATAAAGATTCATACAACAAAATCCTGGACCTACTTAATGATGGGAGTTACTCCAAAATTAAAAACGATCCCACTAAAAGCCTAACGACAAAAACCAACAGCATCATCACGAGTTCGACTTCCCTAATCGAACCAAGCAAACGTCCCTCTCTAAAACCATCGGCGGCAAGACCTCCCAGACTCTATGGTCTTCCCAAGATCCATAAAGAAGACACCCCACTACGAATCATCGTATCGACGATAAACTCCCCTACTTACAAACTAGCCCGGTTTCTATCAGATACTCTGCTTCCCTTCACAGGCAAGACCTCTTCGGCAGTACTCAACTCAACCCAATTAGTCTCTATGGTTAAGGACATGGTACTATCTCCTGATGACATCCTCGTCAGTTTTGATGTAGTATCTCTGTTTACCAAAGTCCCAGTACCGGACACCCTAACAATAATTGAGGACTTAGTCCAACATGGATTGAATTCTGATGTACCTGCGCTGGTTAGGCATTGCCTCACCAACACCTATTTTACCTGGAATGGTACCTTCTACAAACAGAATGAGGGTACCCCTATGGGCTCCCCCTTGTCACCAGTTATAGCCAACATGTTCATGGAAAAGTTTGAATCAGACGCCATTCAGACATCCACCCTGCGTCCTTCCTTGTGGAAGAGGTATGTGAATGACACGTTCGTCATCTGGCCACATGGCCTCCCAGCATTGAACCACTTCTTGGACCACATCAATTCCAGACACCCATCCATCAGATTCACCATGGAAGTGGAGAAAGATGGTAAACTACCATTCTTGGATATTCTGTTTGAGAGGAGACCTGACGGATCCTTGGGACATTCTGTGTACAGGAAAGCCACCCACACAGATTCCTACTTGAAACCGGATTCCTACCACCACCCATCTCAAAAGAATTCTCTCATCAAAACGCTATACCACAGAGCCCATGGCATTTCTGACCAACACCACCTGGCCGGTGAATTAAGACATGTACATCGGGCCCTCAGGATGAACGGATACTCTGACCGCACCATACGCCAAGCTGTTTCTCCCACCATACAGATACAGCCACATGAAACTCCGACCAAAACTATCACGTTACCATACATAGCAGGCGTGACCAAAAAGATCTCCAAAATTTAAAACAAACATAAGATCCAAGTCCGATTCAGTACAGTGCATAAAATCCGTGATCTGATTCCATCTGTGAAGGATGTTGTTCCTGACTTAGTATCCTGGAGTCTACAAACTGAGTTGCAGTTGTGGTGATTGCTACATTGGAGAAACGAAACGTCATGTTTCTGATCGTGTCCGCGAGCACAAGTCAGATCTGAAACTAGGCAGAACTGATTCTTCGGCTGTTGCCGATCATTGCTAGAACTCTGTGGGCTCTCATGAAATTGTCTTTTCCGAGACGAAGGTGCTCTGCAAACCTCCTGGCTACCATCAAAGGTTTGTACACGAAGCCATACAAATATACAAACACAGATATAATTTTAACCGTGATGAGGGTTACAAACTGAGTAATCATTGGAAAGATGTGATTAACCATGCAAAAAAGATGTAACTACACTTATTTGGACCATCTTATTTGACAGACAACTATTACAGGTTATTGATAGACAGCCAGTTTGTTGTTTTACCAGTTTTAGTTTTTACTTTCTTTCTTTTTTCACACTTTTGTTATGTATGCTAGGTGTTAGTTACAAACCGCACCTCTCCATAACAAATGCTCAGTCCTTTGTTATGCAGTCTATTCTTAGTCTTAAGCCTCACCTTACCATATTAATAAAACGTGTGCCGTTCCTGGCCCTTCCCTCCTCAACCATTATGTATACGGGGTGGTATTTCTTGTGATCTCTCATTTACTTGATACAGCTGTCGTGGCTGTGACGGTTTCACCTGAAGACGGAGGCTTGTGTTGCTTCCGAAACGTCGTGATTTTTTATTTTGTTTTATTTTACTTTTATTAATTTAAATTTTTTACCTACGTGACTTTACTGAAAAAACCTAAGAATATGCAGTTGGTGTTAAGATGTTCAAATACCAAATAAACACCAATCACAAGCCATTAAGTTTGCATTAACCACACATGCTTGTGGAAAAACATGCAAACTAACGTGATTTTATAATGTACGCATTGTCTCAACAGTGGTAAACCAAAAAATGGAAGAGGCAAACAGCACAAAGACAAGGCACGTACCAAAGCATTAATGGTTCTGGTCGAGTGAGCTGGATGAGTTTGTAAACACCCTGGTGGGTAGAACTGACAGTTGTGTGTTAATCCTCTGTAATGCGGCTATTTCTCTAATATATCTCTATACTAGATATGGTGAAGAGTTATTTGTTGCTGGTAAATAGAATACGCTGTGGGGAACAGTGCCGGCGCGTGGTTTAGCGCAAATATGTTCTAAATCAGGCGCCATTCCCGACAACTCCGCCACGCCTCTCTAGCCCGCACATGATAAGCGTGGTGAAGTATGGTTAAACACTACAAGATGGAGTCGGCTCGGGAAGATCCATTATCCTACAAAGGATTAACTAAAAGCTGTAAATTAAACTAACCCCTAGGGGAGTCTCTCCAATGCGGGTTGTGTACAAATCCAGGTGCTGAATGTTGTCAGGGATCCAGCGGGAACTGAACTCAGCCCTCTGTTGTCACAGTTCGCCCTTTAGAGTCCAGACCACACGGAGCATGAACATTGCGAAGGACTCGCTGCTCCGCGTGCTCCCAGCTCTGAGCGTGACCCAGAGCTTCCAGCACAGACCTCACCTCCTCCAGTACTCAATCATCGCTAGTCCACCATCACCACCAACCCACTCATAACAACACATACGAAGTATAGAACCAAAACAATATATTAGTCCGCTATCACAAAAATCTCAAGAGAGAGTTTTCCCCGCGCTCGCGCTGATCTCGAGCGCGACTGCATGGAGGAATGTCTCCCATCATCCACCCATGCTCTCTAAATACAAATGCGCATTTTTGCTGATGAGAGCTTTGCGATGTTTCACTCGGTGCTCTTTAATGAGTTCCTTGCTCGTGTGTTCTAGAAGAAAAACGAGTTCTGTGTGTGACTGCGCGGGTCCCAGTGAGCCCAGAGAGAGGCTCACGCGTGGGAATGCGCTGTCGTACACTGGCTCAGACTGAGCCTGCAGCTGGTTTCTCTCAAGAGCCAGAATAGTCAGTTGGGTCAGGCTGTCAAACAGCCCAGCGGGTAGAGCTGTCAGCTGGTTGCTGTACAAACGCAACTCCTTCAGATTCACCAGGCGGTCAAACACCCCTGGTTAAAGGCTGCGTTAAGTGATGCTGTAATTCAATTAACGTTGCCGCGTTCGCTAGACGGTGTCATTGTTGATGCCGTGTGCGAGTTCTGTGCTCAACTCTTGCTTTCCGGCTCGTGCAGCCAACAGCAACAGCTGCGACGTAGGTCCTGACAAATACCATGGGGATGATTCGAGACTCATTTCAAAAGAGGGCCCTGCCCTGGCATTTTTGGCCAATTCTTCGAAGGATAGGTTTGTGTGATTTGTGTCTGTTTTGTCTATTTATCCTCTCCACTCTCCCACGCATTTGTGAAATCCAGTACTGGAATATCCTATTATTGTATGATTTTATTTTTATCATTATCATCGTCATAAGCCATGGGCTATCCACTGCTGAATTGAGGCTTCCGCACGCCATCATGTTCACTTCTGGCCCTGCGTTGCCACAGTCTATCTCGCTCCTGCAACCGAGCTTCTCTCTTTGATCCATCTCCGCGGTGCTTCATCTGCTTTGGCTGCAGAGTCAATGAACCAAGAGCAGAAATTGACAAATATGGTTAAGAGCTTACGGAGACAGCACGCTGACCATCTGATGATGCAATTATCTTCGTGATGCTTGGACAAAAACAAGGAGTCCGGTTTCTAATTCAGCAGCAAAACCGTGCATGCTGCCTCAATCAGCAGCACTGCCTCGTACGCACCCTACACAGCGATTGTTGATCTGGTGATGACTGTGGTCTCCGTGACAGAGTTTGGGCCAGAGAGCTGGACAAGCAGCAGCCACGCTCGAAGATTTGCCTTTTCACTCGCTCACGTGAGGACACTGAGCTAGAGCGCGTTAGCGGCGTCGTGTTCACCTCACATCTTGGTATCTCGCTCCATGCCGTCTGTTCGGTGCAGTACAGCGATCCGCACGGTATTCACACTCGATCAGTGGAATTAATTTCCGCACTCGTCTCCCTATGGGAGCCTCATTTAATCCCTATACTCAGGAGGATGCTGCTACAAAAGATCGTGACAAATTCCTGTGTGAGGAGAGTGTTGCGTTGTTGGTGCTGTTTGTGTAGGTGTTGTTTTGTGTGGTGGCTCTTGTTTTGCTGTTGTGTGGTTGTTGTGTAGTCTTGTTGTAACATAGCAATTGTTTTGTATTGTGTTGATGAGTTGTTGTTTTTGTGGTTATTGTTGTTGTTGCTGCAACACAAAACCACGCAGCACGCGTCAGTTTCTTGAAACTATAAATATCAGCTCTCATTCACACGATTCACTCATTTAAAATTCACTAATGTTCAGTGACAAAATTAAATTGAGGCACAAAAGGGCACCATGACGACGATGACTGTGGATGTCAATAACGTGGTAGCTTTATAAACTGAGCTCTCCTCGTGCTGAACGTGATCTATACCCCAGTGCCCAACGACAAAGCTGAGACCGCTGCTGGTAGTACTCGCTCTGTTTGTCAAACGCGACCCTAGGAACGCTCTTCAGCTGATTGTCGTTCAGACCCAACCGCTGCAGATTCCTCAGGCGGTCAAACACCCCGGCGGGAACAGTCGTCAGCTGGTTCTCGTGCAGGTGCAAATATATCAGCTTCCCCAGTCTGTCAAAGATGCCTGGCGGCAGAGACTTCAGTTGGTTATCTTCCAGGTCAAGTCGCATAAGTTCAGTCAAACTGTCAATCAGAGCGGGTGGTATCGCCTGCAGTTGATTATGGTCCAGATACAGCTCCTTCAGTTTCACCAGGCGGTCAAATACCCCGGCGGGTAGAATTTTCAGCTGGTTCTGATGCAAATACAGCGTCTGCAGATTCACCAGGTGGTCAAACACCGCCTCGGGGAGAGTAGTCAGCTGGTTGTAACTAAGAAACAGTTCAGTCAGTTGTGTCAGACTGTCAAACAACGCAGCAGGGAGGGCTGTGAGTTCATCCCTGAGCACGAATCGCCGATGAGCAGCCTCCGTGGAATTTATTCTGGCATTCGCCTGCCTGTGTGAGCCTCACTGAGTCCCGAGACTCTGTCTTTAGGAGGATGCTGCTACAATAGGATGCGTGGCCAATTCCTGTTCGAGGAGAGTATTGCGTTTTTGTTATTGTAGTTGGGTAGCTGGTGTGGTTGTTGTTAATGTTGTGTTTGTATTGGTTTGTTGTTAGTTTAACACGTAGGCTTTCGCCACAAATATCATCCATAATAGAAGGTTTTGGGGTGGATTGCGTAAATATATAAATGTGTCGTTAAAACCCGCCACCACCCGACACAGCCAACTAGTCAGGGTTGTCAAGTAAAGAGCATGCCAATTCGTCACTAGTACAGCACACCGGTGTGTTGGAGAGCGAAGCCACAACATATACAAACTGAGTATGACGTTTCGCTGGTAATTACAACTAGCTTCATCAGGCGACAGACAGATTTGTGGAGAATAATTACTGTTTCCTTCCTTATGTAGAGGCGTAGATATGTTGACCACCCTTCTGCACTCTTGCACAATGTGGGGGGAAATTACTGAGGCAACGTACATTATGCATGTGCATTATGCGAGCCATTTGAACTTGTCCTTCCTGACTATTGTTTATTAAAATAGCCCTACCAACGGTAATCCCTAGTGTTTGCCCAACACTATTTACCACACGTGCAGTTAATCCTGTACACACCTTCTGTTGATAGCTTCGGTAATACATCTTTTGTAACAGATATTAAATTCAGAATTTTATGTACCGTGCCAAATCTGACTCAGATGTTTTGTTTTTCCAAACATCTGGCTAGTTTATCAATTACTCATGCAATGTACGGTATTTTGATCGTTTTAATTACTTGGACAGTTTCAATGCTCTTGTTATTTTGTTTGGTTTTGGTATTCAATGTCCTGTTGATTTGTGCATCATTGTAGCCGTTCATTTGCAGCGCTTCTTTAACATGTTAAATTTCATTTCTCAGACTGTCACCATCTGACACTTTCTTAGCTCAATGAATGAGCATCTTGATAAGAGCAGATTTCTATGCGGAGTCATGGTGTGACTGCATTCAGATAGGCGTTAGTATGCGTTTTCTTTCAGTAAACAGTGTTATTTTACCATTTCTACCCCATCCGAGCAGAATATCCAGAAATGGTAGAGTTCTGTCAGCTTTCACTTCCATGGTGAACTGGATGGATGGGTTTTGCGAGTTGAGATGATTTATAAATGCCTTCAGTGTATTTTTGCCGTGTGGCCAGACCACCACACCGTCCCCAGGTGATTTGCTCATTAGTTTCTACGTAGTTTCTTTGTTCACCAAAGTTCCTGTGGCCGATACTATTGCAAGAATTGAAGATTTGGTCCAACAAGGATTGAACTCTGATGTACCGGCCCTGGTGAGAATCCTAAGTGTGAGTATGCGAAGCTAGCAGTGTGAGAAGGCTAGCAGAGAGTATAGCTAGCAGTGGAGAAGCTAGCAGAGTATATAGTGGAAGGCTAACAGTGGCGTAGCTAGCAGAGTGTATAGTAATAGGCTAGCAGAGCATACGGTGGGAAGCAATCAGTGTGTAGCGGTAGGCCAGCAGCGGAGAGAGCGAAGCGAGCGGAGTGTGGGAGGCAGGCTAGCAATGGAGAGGCTAGGAAAGTGAGAGAGAGAACAGGCTAGCAGTGGAGAGGCTGAGAGAAGGGGAGCGGAGCGAAGCATGCAAACAGCTCAAAAATCAAGACAGAGTTACGTGATGTCGAATGCAAGGAGTTCTGTTCAATAAAAGTAACACAGGAGAAAAATAAGAGGTTGTCCCTGTGAAGTAGAAATACTACACATCTTTAGTACCAGATATTAGTTTCTGTATCATGTACCGTGCTAAATCTTTAGTTTTTTTCCAAAAATCGGTTCTCTCGCAATGTATGATATTTTAATGCTCTTCAGCTACTTCGCAGTGATGCACAATTGCTTTGCACTGCCTTCTGTTAACATTGCAATCCTAGTCACGTGTGCACAGCTTCACGCGTGGTGGCATCTGCACTCACTAAGCAGAGCGTAAAATAAAACAAGTGTGGAGTGGACACGAAGAACAACAGTGCGGCATGAGATTGGTCAAATCAGTGATGGTTCATAGCAGTGATGATGTACACAAGGACTGTCAAATAATCCTCTCATACCGTTTACTCCCTGGTGCTGGTACTTACTCGTCATGCCAGGTACCACTTAAGGCTGAGTCGACCATGGGTAGGCCACCTCCAGATATTCGAGACGGTCCGGAATTGAACTTCAATGCACTAGCTCCCGGCATAGGAATGTGGATTTGCCTTATATATCTTGCAGCCACCAACTGAAATAAAAAATGCTCTGTGATCGCTTGAACATCACTACATGGAGACAATGCAACCCCTGTGCCCTAATTCATTACCTGCCTCAAGGTCTTCACTCAGGGACCCGCATCAGCAGTGCATGGCCGTTAGACTCCGCACAGAGTCGACAAGAAGCACAGCGGCAGATTCACGCAGAGATCCTGCAAAGACACGGGGGGCCAGATGTCGGCTCTGCCTGCAGGGGTGTTCGACAGTCTCATGCACCTGACGAACTCGCATCTGCAATACAACCAACTGGCGGCTCTATCGGAGGAGGTGTTTTAGAAACTCGTCCATCTCACTGTTCTGAATCTGCGTCACAACCAACTGAAAATCGTTTCTGCGGGTGCGTTTGAGCGGCTGGTGAGTCTACCGTGTGTCTTTTAAGATAATATACACATCACGCCTGGTACAATGCGGCTATTAACAATTAGTGGGTACTGTGCAACATATAAAGATCAGGAAAGAAAGACATGCATATGCGAGGCATCTGTAATACATATAATTGATGATAGGGTCAGTAATATAATTTGAGAGCTCCGGTTTCCTGTCACATGTGTAGTAGTCACTTCAGAGACACCAATAGTAGGAGGCACACACGTTTATTATACACTACCACAGTACAGGGGATAACTACACACGGGTCAGGACAGCCGGCACACTGCCTGACCCACAACGCCGAGGAGGTGAAGATGGGGACGAAGACTTGCGTAGACGATGGGTTCCATTCAAAACGACAGCCCCGACCCAGCATCGGGACCTCCCTTTTATTCTCCCCAGCGTGGCCTGGCTCCGCCCTCGGCCACGCCCCCTTCTGGAACCTACCAGATGGTTCTGGACTTCACCCCACGTGCCCCCCTCTGTCACCTTTACCCTAAACCCCTTACCCCGGCTACGTGCTCCAGTGCCCTGCTGGTAGACCAGGCTACTACACCCACAATCCCGCTCTCTACCAGTAACCAGCGCTACGCGCCCTAGTAACCCATTCTATGTCGCTACACATGTATAAACACTCATTAATACAGGTAGGAACAACAGTTCCACACTGCCCACCAGGGATTATTTGTCTGTCTGTCGTGCATAGCCACGCCTTCGATTTGTATTTCATAGAGCACTTCGGGCGGGCTCAGCACCACGTGATGCGCCGCCCCACACAGCTTGCGCCGCGTGACACAGATCGCACGAATGCGCTGGCTGTCCATCCAAGTTTCTACCTGCCCACTTCGAAGGAATGTGTTTGGCTGAAAAATCTTAACAAAAAGAAAACCGTCTAAACATGTGTTTGTCGTTTGTTTCTGATCCACCGTCATTGAGCAGTGCACCACTTCTGCTACAAGCATTGAGAATAGCGCGAGCCGACCAAGCCATCTACCTGCACAACAACCCCTGAGACTGCTCCCGTTCATGCAGCCTGAGTCTCAGTCGGTGGATCGAGGCGAACTGGGGCGAGGCGAACTAGGGCAACGCGCTTAGCGCTGGCGGCTCTCAATGGTCCGGGTCAGTTGTCAATCTCTCCAGCGAGGAGCAACGGAATAAGATGCAGCCCTGCAATTGCCTGGCTCACGCCACTGATGACGTAAGGGTCTGCACTGGATGGAGTTCTAGAGAGCTCCTCTGGTGGGTATGTGGCCTACTACTCGTTCGGAATGAATGCTTGGCAGTGTAGTTGAGATTTATAAACGAAAAGCGCTTCATCAAATAAAGATGAGTATTAGTATGTTTATATAATCATCTGTAATAACCAATATATATATAGAACCACAATCATTATCATCATCATCTTTAAACCAGATACGTGGCACGTGTCGGACAACTTCTTGTCATTAATTTTGTGAATGGCGGTGAGAGACGGCGAGATGTCCTTACGTAGGGACAGGGTTATTGGTCCCAGAGCATTTGATGTCACCAATATAAACTGCTTTGCCAGAGTTTTGGTTGAGCCACTGGCTGAGATACAAGATGTCTGAACAAGCGCAGTCCCAGGGGTTACTGTACAGATAAATGGATTCGATTGGGTCCCCCGATTCACAAGATTATGAAAGATTTTGCATCAATTATGCATGCTTCATTAACAGAGTTTTAATTGAAATTATAAATACTCAATCACAGTCGATCGATCATGCTTCAAGTATTCTCTTGCATATTTACTACAACTGCAACTGCAGCGATTTGGATTGAATAAATAAACTAGGTAACTCTTGCTTCAACTATCATTGTCACTTAAATATATGCCTAGTGGTCGATTCACTCTGAATATTTTTTGTTAGATTTGAAGCAGGCCAACGTTTCGGTCTGCCCCTTATTCAGAGTGGTCAGACAGTTCCACCGACTTGCAGTTGAAGACTGCAGTTCACTGGTCAATCAGAAGGAAGCTGACTGGAACGTTTCAGATCTCACTCGCAGCAGATGATACAGCCGTGACTGGGAATGGAACCAGGGCCTCGAGGTTTACAACATCGTGCGCCAACCACTTCACCACTGCTATGTCATGTTCACGCTATATTTATCTATATATACTAGCTGTACTACCCGGCTTCGCCCGGGACTTGTATCCACCACGGCCGGCCGCCTTTGTCTCCCCAGTGGCGATGTTAATACGCCACAGCAGTTACTCGTTTGAGGCAGAGTCGACCTAGGGGAGGTTCAAATAATCGTTACCGGTGGTGGCCGTGAGCGGGAATCGAACTGGGTTCGCCGGGTTGGTAGCGCAGCGTAGCGTTAAGCACTACACCCACCGCTCCTCACACACCACGCACGCACAGACACACACACAGACACACACACAGACACACGCAGACACACACAGACAGACACACACACAGACACACAGACAGCACGCTAACCACTACACTACCGTTCCCCCTACACAACACACGTGCGCGCGTCCATAGGTACACATACACGCGCTTGCTGCAGACACACACATACACACACATACATACACGCAGACACACACATACACACAAACACACATACATACACACAAACACATACACAGTGACATGCGTATTCCCATCGCGGGGCACGGGACGTGCCTCCCGGCAAATCCCTCGCAAGCGATCGTACACAGATGGACAGACAACTGAACAGTACGACGTTTGGCTGGTAATTGCATCCAGCATCAGCGAAAGGACGTACTCTGAAATGGGAATTGTTGTGGTTTTACGCTTGTACACACCGGTGGGCCAAAGCAGAGACTTATGAGTGTTTTATCAACGGGACACTTTTTGACTGATTGGCCGTGTGGGGTGGTGGAGGGTTACAACACATTAATAATTAAGGCGAGCGAAAGGCAATAAAGTTATTTTTGAAGAATGGTTGCGAAAGCGTACGTGTTACAAAAAGACTCACTTTACTTAAGAAGCAGGCTAATGTGTACATGATAGACTGTCAGTACAGCCACCCAGAAATATAACCAGGCTACACTACATTCTAGAGTGGCAGTACGCTCAGCCAGCTTAATGAGTATTTGTTGAGTGAACATTTAAACAAATCCATTATTGGCGCGTGGGGTTTAAACATAATTATACAGTAGTTTTTTTCATGAGAAATGGTAATTGTTGTGGTTTTCCGCTTGAACACACCGGTGGGCTAAAGCAGTCAAGTCTTAGTCTTTTATGAACGTGACAATTTTGTGCAGATTGGGCGTGTCGGGTGGTGGATAAGGGTGACAACACCTTAATAAATAAGGCGATCTAAACGCAATAACGTTGTTTATGAATAATGTTTGCGAAAGCGTACGTGTTACAAATTGACTAACTTTACTTCCTAACCAGGCTAATGTGTACATGATAGACTGGCAGTACACCCAGTCAGCTGAATAAGCAGGCAGCAGTCTACATAATAGACGGGCAGTACGCTAAAGCAGCTTAATGACTATTTGTACAAAGAACATTTAAAGAATCGATTATAATAACCAGGCTACAGTCTACATTATAGACTGCCAGTACACCCACTCAGCTTCGTAAGCAGGCTAGAGTCTACATGATAGAGTGGCAGTACGCTCACAGAGCTTAATAAGCAGGCAACAGTGTACATAATAGACTGTCAGTACGCTCACCCAGCTTAATGAGTATTTGTACAGTGAACATTAAAGTAATCGATTGTTGGCGCGTTGGGTTTAAAAGTAATATTAATAGCACACATTGTGGTGGGGGTGTAGTCAAGAGTAGGAAAAACTGATGAATTTACCTCAGAGTGGCGTGGTGGGTGTCGAGGCCTAGTAGCGTGCAAAGCCTGCGGCCTCGCCTAAAATTGTCGGCTTGGAAGAGGCAGGGTACGGGTGGCGTTCCTTCCCCCCCCCCCCCCCCTAGCGCTCCAACAATACTGTGTAATGGCTATTATTTAATTAATTACGGAGCTTATGAAAGTGGCGAAGGCGTGGCTAGCGGTTGGCAGGGGCAACCGCCGTCCAATGAAACTGCAGCCCTTGGCGAAGGCGTCGCTAGCCGTTGCCAGGTCCAATGAAAGCGGCGAAGGCAACCGCTGTCCAATGAAAATGCGTATGGTCCGGAGACACACAGACACACAGACAGACAGATAGACAGACAGATTCACGATTTTATATATATAGATAAAAGGGAAATTTGTGATTATATGTGTCTGTTCAAACTGTTTAGCATATTTCCCGACATGCAACAAACTTGAAATTATTAAAAAATCGACTTTGATATTGGGGGGGGGGGGGGGGGGGGCGCAATAATGCATATATTTTGCACGGCAAGTGAGCTGTGATGTCACATCTGTCATGTGACCCGTGTGCAGAAGCGTAACGGAGTGTGCCTCCTGATCGCGGGTAAAGTGGAATACAAATGTGTTGCAGGTCTAAGGCGTTCGTCGCGCAGCATTGCTTTATTATTTGAGTCATTTACTGCAGTACGTACCCTGAAAGTTGTCTGCATCATGCACGTGTATGTGTACCTATGGACGCGCGTGTGTGTGGGGGGAGAGGTAGTGTAGTGATTAGCGTGCTGCACTACGAACCTGGCGACCCGAGTTTCATTCCTGCTCACGGCCACCACCGGTGACGATTACTTGAACCGCTCCAGGGCCTACCTTAGGTCGACTCAGCCTCAAACGAGTAACTGGTGTGGTGTGCCAACATCGCCACTGGGGAGACAAAAGCGGTCGGCCGTGGTGAATCCAAGTCCCGGGCGAAGCCGGGTAGTAAAGCTAGTATACAATATGTATACAGCTTAAAGTAGCTCTGTGTATAATGATGATTGCTTATAATACGTGCAGTTTTGTTTGTTAAGTGCTCTATTCACAAGTGGCACGTTTAGTTGATAGCACTGTGACTATTGCTGCTCTAAATAACAGCAAGAACCATGAGATGCGTGTGTCATTCATTCAATATATATGGATAGAGTGTGTTGACTCAGTTTGTCGGCAGCATCTGTTGGCTTTACCCGCTGGGGTGTTTGACAAACTGAACCATTTCACTCATGTGGGTCTGCACTCCAACCAGCAGAAAAACATTTCTCGGAAGAGTTTGCTGGGTGCGTGCGTCTCTTTAGTTGCATCCTTAATGCGCATCGGAAACTTTGTTCTCTGGACTGCCGTGACGTGTGTGGTCGGTACCAACCACATTGCATAGACCACGCCACGGGCAGTGCAATTTCCTCACGATGCATCCATCGGTACCGGCCTAGAGGCGTTTTACATCAAAACTAGATTAACATTGCCAATGAGTCAACACAAACCAGTCGCAAAGTATTAACCAAACAGCCATTACGAATAAGGCAGACAGTACATGCAAGACAGAAGTACAAACGGTACACACGAGGCCGAGAGTACAAAAAGTACACACGAAACAGACAGTACAAACAATACTTGTGTAGTGACATAAGAAGAGAGGGACTGCTGGGGGCTCTGGAACCCTAGGCAACCCAGACGCTTAAGCCCCTTGGCGCCAGGCGCTAGATTCCCAGGCAACCCAGACGCTTAAGCCCCTTGGCGCCACCAACGGGGGTCTGTATGTGCTCTGTGGGATATCTGGGGGCGCACACAACCCCACCCCTCGTTGGGGACGAGGCATAAAAGGGCAGCTCCCTGGACGATCGAGGCCAGTTGTAGCTCAAGACCCAAGACCAGCCATCTCAGGACCCTGGGACGATGTGAGGGCCAGTGGTGGGACTCTGGAACTCCCGGCTCTACGTCCTTGTGAGGGCGAGTTCCAGAGCATAGCCAGAGTAGTGTACCTAGGCTGTGTACCTAGGCTGTAACAGAGTATCAGGACTGTTGGAGTGTTGGATTGTAATAAAGAAGTTACCTCTACAAGTGTCTCCGGAACCCATTACACTTGCAAGACAGACAGTACATTATTTACTCGCGTAATTTAACGAGTGTTTCGTGAATTGACGAATCGATGCACATGTAAACTACTTATTGTCGTGTAATAGCAACCAATCGTTATATCAATTTATTGAATTAAACCAACTTGTCATTGTCACGGCGCAATCTATGTTTGTATATATAACTAAAATTTATGTAAAAGCCATACCATCAATCAATCCCCATTTACAGCAAAGCATCCTTCATTTAACCACACCATGCGAAACAGGGATCAAGTTCTCAATGAAGTGGCTGACACACCATGAACTCTAAGTTGGTTGGAACACGTGTACACAGACACACACTACAGCACGTGCGTGGAATGTGTTTAGCAATCATCAGACACGTGCAGCAGAAAGAACAAATGTGGTAAAGAGCTCGCTGAGTCAGCACGCTGAACGTCTGATGCTGCAATTATTTTTGTGCCGCTTGTGTAATGGCCGAAATTAGCAAGCACTCGCCCCAGCTTGAAGACGGTCACCAATTGGTGGAAAGATGCCTCCACGGTGATTGTTCGGGAGGCAGAAAGTGATTGGAGAAATAGATTTAAACAAGATTAGGTGGGGAACATATAAGATCCGTTAAGTGGGGAAGGACAGGGATTGGCTAGGAGAAAAAAGAGTGACAGTAGATTCCAGAAAGGGGTCCTCGAGAGGTATACAAAGGGAGAACACCAGGGGAGTGGACGTTCGGGGGGAAGACATGTTGAAGAGAAGATGTAAGCCTTGGGTCCCATACAAAGTGTCTCTTAATATATGTAATAAAGCAGGTCGACGACAAGCGACTGTGTCTCCGTTTGTTTATTTATTCATTATCTGGACAGCTCGCGTTCCGCTCCCTCGGTCGTTCCGCAGCGCGTCGCGTGAGCTGGCGTCCCGCTTCCGCGCCGCCCTCTTGCTCTCACTTATCCGCTCCCGCGCACCGCTGGCAGACGGCGCGCTGGGAGCCGTCTCCATGTCGCCACGTGGCCGATGGCTCGCGGAGACCCGCGACGTGGCCAAACTTCCAGCTTCTCACCAACTGACCCCGAGCCCCTTCCGGCTCTCCCTTATATCCCCTTCCCGCGTCACCCAGACTCCGCCCTTCACCACACCCCTTAAGAACTTTCCAGATAATACCACCCCCTAGCACCCGCGGGCTCCACCCTTGAACCCTGCCCCCGATGGTTCTGTCGCCTGGTTGGCTTAGGGGCTGGAGCGGCGAAGCCCCAGCATATGCTCGCATTACATATACATCGTTGTCAGAGTCGTTACACTTGGACAAAACAAGGCGTCCGGTTTCTAATTCGGCAGCAAAAACCCCACATGTTGCCCCGGTCAGCAGCACTGCCTCGTGCGCGCCCTGCGCAGCGGTGGCCAATGTGGTGATGGTCGTGTTCACCTTTAGAGAGTTGGGCTCAGAGAGCTGGACGAGCAACAACCACTCTAGCAGATTTCCCTTCCACTCGCCCACGTGACACTGAGCGAGAGGGCGACTCCACGAAGGAATGCCTCTCATCAGCAGCAGCGTCATCAAAAGAAGCAGCATCATGGCATTATGCCACAACATAAAAAAAGTCATCAATAATAATAATCCCACCACTCATCATCCTCATATCCATCGACATCATCGCTGTACGAACTGGGAAGCAGAGTAAAGCAAAAAAATCGCACGCAGTCTAAACATTGACAGTCCAGCGAACGTGGTTACATTCAGTGAATTACCGCATCACTTAACATAGCCTTTAACCAGAGGGTGCTTAACCGCCTCGTGAATCTTAAGGATTTGCGTTTGTACAGCAACCAGCTAAGAGTCTACCAGCTGGGCTGTTTGACAGCTTAACCCAGCTGACTCTTCTGGTTTTTGAAAGAAACCAGCTGCAAGCTCTGCCTGAGTGGGTGTTTGACAAACCGACGCAACAGACCAACTGAGACGCAGGCTGTGTGAACGGGCGCAGTCCCAGGGGTTGTTGAACAGATAGATGGCTGGGGTCGGATCGCGTCAATCACAGAGGCCGCGCAACAGTGACTGATGATGAACCCTACACGTACATCATAAACACACATCACTCAGAGATTATTTTAATATGTTATTCTTGCGTATGAAACGTCCATTAAAAAACAAACTATTCATCACTCACTCATCGTCACGGTACAAGATTGTGATGCTTCGTGACTTCCATCGCGTGTATACAGCAATTACATCAAGTTATTGTTACGTTAGGGAGATCTATAAACACAATATGTATACAATGGTTGGTTTACCGTGATGCTTGACAATATGTACGATATGCTAACGTTTCGTGTATTAGCCCTACTTAAGATCAGAGAGAGGGCAGACAGTTTGACTGATATATGGTTGAAGCCGGGATCTCACAATGAGGCGCCTTGAAACCCGTGGAGAATCTTAAGTTGCCACGTGAACACAGTCTCCCATTCAGTAGCAAACGAACTACCCCGATAAGTTAGATATCGATAGAAAAACGTCAAATGTCTGATATGGACTAAATACATTGATACAAATATCGACTAATACACAACTTAACATTATGGTGGGTCCCCAGGGTCCCATAAACCCCCGGCTCTCGCATAAACTGCGTTGCGACGTCATTTTACGTCTGTTAAAGGTGAACGATATGGCAATCTATTCCTCTCGATGAACTCTACACGATGCGCTCATCATAGTTTAAAAATGTTGTTTCTTCTGCGCATTCGGTCTCGCTGCACTTGGACAACATGACAACAGAATGATCCACGCCAGGTGGGTCAGAGAATTTATGTGCGTGGTGGGACGGAGTCTAAAAAAATGTATAATTAATAATTTACGCATTTTACTTCCGTTTGTTCGGGTCCCGCCATAAGGTTCAAATATTGGTGTTAAATTAACGTAAAATTTTTGCTAATTATAACGGATGCCGAAACATTACATCTGTAGTGGGTACAATCTAGAGGTAAACTTCTCTTTAGAGGCAACACGTTTATTTTACAAATAACAATATGGAACACGAAGGGGTAAGGCCCCTTCCACCCGCTACACTCGGGAGGTACGTCATCCTCACTGGCGTGCCCTATACACTCGGGACAAATCTCTATGGAGTCCTCTGCTATCGGGGTTTAGGGAGGCTACACTGACCGACCCAGCCAAGGTCCTTGGGTCCTATCTGCCAGGCTGCTCGGACCCGACCCAGCTAAGGTCCTCGGTCCGGCTCCGGCTCCTAGGTCTTCAGGGCAGCTTCTTGATCTTCCAGTGAACAACAACTGCCGGTCCCGTTAATGGGTCCAGCTTGTATACTCAGTTCCTGGCTCAATCCGCCCCTAGCCACTCCTCCCTTCTGGAACCATCTAGAGGGGCTTGGAGTGTGACGTTATCCCCCAGCCCCCCTCTTGGGGGTCTGGGATCTGCACCTCTGGTCACGAGCTACCCTGGGGGTTACCTTGGCCCAACGGCCCGACTCATCTCCTTTGGTTTCAGTTTCATTTATTAGGTATAGCCCTGTGAGCCATGCGGCTCTTCACTCGGGTGCAACCGCAACAAACAAAAACATGAACAAAGAACATCTTAAAGTGACTACGCGCAAGAGAAAATTTCAGGAAAAAACAGCAAAGTCTTCCAAAAAAGCACCATATATCAACGCTGTGTGCAAAAATCCCAGTGGGATGCAAGTCAAACAATAACAACCATACGACAATTTATATTAAAGTTATCAGTCTAACTCTGTACTACAACAAACAAATATGGCAAAACCAAAACGTTTCAGAAATCACCAAAATAAAGCTATTAAAACAATGTAACAGTTATCATAGGAACTGTGATTCAAATTTAACAATGAACGATATACATAACATGTACGACCAAACTTTGCAGCCATAGCTGGCAGCATGAGTCACTCCATAACAGCAGTAGTATCAGTAGGAGTATCAAAAAATTTCAATGCACATTTAAATATCAGCACAGTATAATCAAAACTCAGGCCACTGATTAGCAGTAGCAGCTAGGGGTGTACAACGCCTCTAGAGCAGTTTTGAGTGAACATCTCACAGGTGGTGATCCAAGTTGCAGTTTATACAGGTAGGAACAACAGTTCCACACTGCCCACCAGGGATTATTTGTCTGTCTGTCTGTCGTGCATAGCCACGTCCTCGATTTGTATTTCATAGAGCGCTTCGGGCGGGTTCAGCACCACGTGACGCGCCGCCCCACGCAGCTTGCACCGCGTGACACGGATCGCACGAATGCGCTGTCCAACCAAGTTCCTACCTGCACACTCCGAAGGAACGTGTTTGGCGATAACATTCCAGACCCTAGGGGCATCAATAGCAAAGGCCCTTCCTCTCTGACTGTCACCAGAACCATGCCCCCTAGGGATCTCTTTCATGCAATGGTGCCAGAGATAGGCTCTAACACGTATAGTTACACTCTTCTCTCAGTAGCTGGTGCTAACGCCGTAGTGACTCAATATACGTCACTGATTTGATCTGATTTGATCCCATCTGTAAAGGATGTGATTCCTGACATGCAATACCCTGGTGTCTACAAACTAAGTTGTGGCTGCGGCAGCAGTTACATTGGGGAAACGAAACGACATGTCTTGGACCGTGTTCGCGAACACAAGGCAGATCTGAAACATGGTAGGACCAATACCTCTGCCGTTGCTGATCATTTTGTTAACGCTGTGGGCTCACACGAAATATATTTTTCCAAGACGAAGGTAATCTGCAAACCCACCAGCTATTATCAGAGATTTGGTCATGGAGCCATCCAGATATATAAACACAGACACAACTTCAACCGAGAAGATGGGTACAAACTGAGCAATCATTGGAAGGACGTTATTAACCAGGTAAAGTCTTAACTGACTGTGATGTTTCATTCCTACCTTCCGATATGAGCAGTTATATCCGACTATGAGTACATCACCAGGTTATATGTCTTTACATTAACGGGCTAAGTGTCTCACTAACACTGCTACCATTGCCCCTTTCCCTCGATGTGGCGAGAGCTCTCGTTTTTTAGCATACTATAACTGGCTGTGATGTTTCTGTGTATGTGTATCTGTGTGTGTGTCTCTCTGTTTGTTTGTCTCTCTGTGTGTCTCTCTCTGTATGTGACTCGATGTGCGTGTCTCTCTCTCTTTGTGTCTCTGTGTGTGTCTCTCTCTCTGTTTCTCTCTGTGTTGTGTCTCTGTGTGCGTCTCTGTGTGTCTCTCTGTGTTGCTTTAGGGAGGCGGTCCAGACCTCCCCAGGGACCCTGGCTAACAGAGGCGGTGTTCAGGATGGCTGAGACAAAGCGACAGGCCCACTTTCATCGGCTACAGCATCCCACGCCAGAGAATGAGGAGGCTTACTGCAGCCTTCGCTCAGAGGTTTGGAGAGCCGTGAGGCGCTCCAAGGAAGGGTGGTGGTCGCGGGTTGCTGAGGAGATGGAGTCTGCCTCAATGGCCCACGATCACAAATCCCTATTTAACTCCATCAAGTAAGCAACCTGCAGCGCCACACCTATTACCATCATTAGGGGAAAAAACGGTGATCCAATCTCCGACCCGCAAGAACACGTTTGCAGATTTTCTGAGCATTTCTGTGAAGTCCTGGGGGAGGGGAAATCCCCCCCCCCTCAGGACTTCACAGAACAAAGTGGGGATGACTCTGCTGAGGCTGCGGGTTCTCAAATATTGGAAGAAGAAGTCACCCCCTGTGAGTGGCTGGTTGAGGTGCCATCTGTTGAGGAAGTACTAAAGGTGATCCAGAGTCTGAGACCAGGAAAGGTACCGGGCAGAGATAATCTCCCCAGAGAAATGCTAAGGAAGGGTGGCGTATGTACACAGACTGCCCTACATGACATCATAACAAGACCACTGGACTGGTTCCGCAGGATTGGAAGGATGCCCTTGTGGTCCCCCTCTTTAAGAATGGGGACCACACAGACTGTAACAACTACAGTGGCATCTTACTCAGTGTGCCGGGAAAGGTCCTGGCAAGGA